GAGTTTCTCAGATGCAGTTTGGGTAGCTAACCAGCCATCTCCCTATAGGAATTGCCACCTCCAAACTCTCACAGTTCTGAAGGAGACCTGGCTCAGAAAGCAGAGGGCCCTGAGGGCCCTGTTGCCACCTGGCTGTGTGACAGCTGCTCAGGTTTTGGGTTCTAAGGTCTCTGTAAAGCCTGGAAGAAAAAGTGTCTTAGAAACTGCTCACATAGCTTTGTTTTGCTCATCACCGTTTTAAGTAGAGAACAGAACCTGTTGTGGATGGTACTGGTGCACCATCCAGGGCCCACCAGACAGGTCAGGGCCAGTTGTACTAGAAGATGTGTAACTATGTCACCTGTAGCTTTCAACAGCTCCCCATTTTGCGTCCACCCCTGGATTTTCCTCGCTTGTATGTTTGTTCCCTTCTTTTCACCCAAGTCTTAATTCTTCTGTCCCTCCTCCAAGGATGCTTGTGTACCTCGTCTACTCTCCTTCGCTTCCTCCTGCAAGTGTCTGATGGCTGTCTCCATGGTGAGTCCTCTTTGTCCCACTCCCCTCCTTGCCTCATTGCCAAGCCATCCCTGGATGACCCTGGATCTCATTTGTCTCTGCCTGTACCCGGTAGAATACAGCCAAACCCACCCAGACCTACTGTCAAAGGAAAAATACCTTTCTCGTTTTGAAACTCAGCAGAACAGCATGTCTTTCAGGTGAACCAGCCATAGGAATGACAGCACTTTCTGTTGGAGAGAAAATCAAAACAAAAAGATCACCTGTTCTCTAGCCCTTTTCTCTAGTGTGTTCTCCTCCTTCCTCCTCCCTTACACCCCAAATAAAAGCAAATACTAGAATATTTTTAAAAAAGAAAAATTCCCAGAAAATAGTCAAATAGGAAAAATAAAATAAAAAGCAAATTAGTCAATTGAAAAATATAGAATATTTGGTTAATACAAAGTATTGAGAGAATAGAGGAAATGGGACAAAGAAAATTATTATCTAATCTATGACACAATGAAAGTGTTCAGAACTGAAGAACATTAACCTCCATGTTGTAAGAATATTGTAAAGTGCCAGTCCGATAAATGAAAATAAAAAGGCCAAACCAAGACACAGCCAAGGCACACTGACATGAATTTCCAGAACATTGAGGATAAACACAAAATCTGAAGTTTTCAAGAAATAAGGAAGGAAAGGACAGAAAGAAGATAAGATAAAAGGAAAAGACACATATCAAGACCAGAATCAGAATTGCATTGGATTTCTCAAAGGCAACACTGAAAACTAGTAAAACAGGGAAAATTCATTTCAAAATCCTAAGACAAGATGACTATAAGATTTTATACTATTAACATTCTTCACTGGGTCTAAGAGTAGAAAAAGTATAAATTTAAACCACTACTCCAAAAATATTATCCACTATAACCCTTTTTTAGGAACTCATTGTAATCCAGAAAAAGTAGAGAATGAATCGAGAGATCCAGACTATAAACACTCCCATATTGCAGTGAAAAGAGCTTGGCTCCACTCTATTGTTTTGGCATAATTGTTGGAATCACCCTTTTTATTCTCCAAATTGTCAATATTATTCTTAAAATTTGATATCTAATTTCATATTTTATGACACTCAAGATTCATAACCAAATTTCCCCATGTGGGTTCAATGTCAAGATACAATAAAACCAGTAGGTTAATGTATATACATTCTGGACAATGGGTCAGAAAATGCACAAAATTATCTTGAAGCTACAGGATAATTACGTTGCGAGTTAGCCTCTTAGTAGCAGATGCAACTTTTCTCCAAGTAATTAACCAAAATAAAACATATCTAGATAAGTTTTGAACACTCACAAATTTCATCTAGATGCCTTACTCATTTTTGCTACTCATGTCTTTGAACACACTTACTGAAACACAGTTTCAACAATGGAAGGCATCTGTCTGTAGGCCAACCATGAGATGCTAATATATGAGCCCCAGTGATCTAATTTTGGATATACGGTCACATGCTTTTCAACAGTTAAAACACTAATATCTTTATTTGGAGCCTAAAAATTAAAAATGTCTAAAGCATCTGCATTTTTAGAAGTTTCTCTAAACATAGGAATTAACTTGTCCAGAGATTTGCTTCTTCGGAGACTGGTTGCAGACACGCAACCCAGGCTCTGTGCTATGTGCTTTCCATGCACACAGGGATCTGATCATAGACATGGACCCCAGAATATCTGGCCGAAAGTGATTCAAATTATGGTTCTGCTTCTTATTAGCTAAGTTTCCCTTTAGGACATTTACAAAACTCGTCTACATTTTAGTTTCCCCATCTTCAAAATGTAACACAGCTCACATGGCTCAAAACATTTCTGCCAGTCTCTATTCTGTTATGTGGATGTTTCCCAATATAGTTGCATTGATTAATATTGTTGGAGTTAATGTAACAATGTTAGCACATTAGTCTTCTTTCTCCCAAACATTGGAAGAAGCTATTTTGTATAGTTTAAAATATGAGCACAAGGGTGGGCATTTAGTGCAGTGGTCAGGCTTAGGATGCCTGTATCCCATTTTGGAGCGACTGGGTTTGAGATGCAGCTCCTAATTCCAACATATAATGAGTAACAACTGATAGCTCAAATGATTGATTCCCTGCTACCTACACGTAAGACCCAGATTGAGTTCCAGGCTGCCTGCCTAAACCTGCCCCAGCCCATGCTATTGTAGGCATTTGGGAAGGGCTGAACAAGCAGATAAGAGTTCTATTTCTTTATTGTTCTCTCCCCTTCCCTCCCTCTCTTTGCCTTTTAAATAAATTAAATAAATAAAATTTTTAAAAATAAATAAATAAGAGTGTATGTTGTAACATTATCACAACCAACAGAATATAATAGGAAAAATACCATTCCTGTGTGTCTGTAAGCCACGGTTCGGTTCTCTATCCCTTCCTAGTAAACAACTTGTCCACACTTGACTAGCCTGCCAGAATTAGCCATGGATTACGCATCTTTTTCTGTAAAGGTAAACAGCCAAGAAGATAGAGACTGTAAAGAGGAAACAACTCAAGTGTTATGACTACTGTTGTTACCTGTTGGCTCTGAAATTCACACAAGAGATTACATGGTCAACAGCAAGATTGAGTTGTGTAAGTGCTTTGTTGCCAAGTGCTTTTATGAAGAAACATTAACTAACTTTCTCAGTATTTACTAACAACTTTAAAATGTGAGGCTATTAAGATAATTATAATAATTTGTTGATATAGTTTCTTTTAAAATTTTAGGACAAAACTATATGGTTTTTTGTTTTGTGAGATTTTTTCTTTTTTTTTTTTTATGAAGCAAGTGATGATTAAAGAATTGAAGTTTTCTGGTGAATGAAATAGCCAGACCACTTTTCATGACAAAGTTGGTAATTAGAAGGCCAATTTAATGGTGAATCAGGCAGAAATATTCAAACCATGACAAATGACTTTAATAATGCAGCTTGCAAGGCTTGAACAGAAATAAATTTCACTTCCTCAAACTCTCGCCTTATTCTGCCTGCCTGGAAGATAGAACTGTCCAGGAGGTATTTTGTACCCTTTATTCAGTAAAGCTTTTACTAGATTTTAAGCGGCCAAATGGCTTGCAAATGCAAAACATCATTCAACTTCGTATGATTTTTTTTTCCTGAAGGTAGATCGTGTTCAGAATTCTGAGTAAGTTAAGATTTATTTTTCTTCTGTTCTGCTTAGCCCTGCAATAGTGTTTTATTGTTACCACTCTGACTTGAGGTATTAAAGGGAGCTACACTGGCCTCAAAATTGAAAGCTAATTTTGGTGTTTGTCATAAGTTTGTTAAGACCACATGCATTCCACAGTTTGAAAAATTTCATTATTCTGTCCATGCTGGGGCTTCGTAATTGGATAGTAAGGATGTTCAAAGACTAATTTAGTGAATTGCACAATATTTTAAATGGAATTATGCAGGTTTATGGGTCCTTGGGGGATTCAGCTAGGAGCCTCTCGAGAAAATCTGTTTATCAGTAAATGATATTAGCAGCTTTCACCTAGCTTTTGTCTTCATTAAATTGCTGCTCTCCCAATTGAGGGTCACATCTGAGGCCTGCTTTGATAATTTGTCATTATTGTCTTGTTTATTGGAGCATAAAGTTGATACAGGCTGGGCTGTGCTGTTTATACATGATGTGCAAAGAAGTTTTTATTAACAATTCCACTGGTGCTAAATCAAAGTGGAATTTTTCAGGGTTCAAGAAAAGGAATCATTTGTAGCATTCTAATTTCTTGTAAAACTCTCTGAGTATATGCCATGCCCCCTTTTTTTAATATGAATAACACATAATGGCATTGCTGAAGCCAATTCTCTACAGACTTTTATTAAAAAAATCCATTTATATCATTAAAAATAATGTTTAAATTTGAAACTTTTTCCATAGTATTAGCCTAGCAAAACAAAATCCATGCAATAGACAATGCTGAAAATATAATATTTATACCTAATTGCCATTAACTACCTTAAGAGACTTGGATTTTAGTTGAGATATTAAAATGATTACAAAACATACTATTTACTGTGGCACAATCAAGCATCCTTTTCATTGCATTTCCATGTTCTAAGTGACAGAAGGGAATTCCTTGAAAGGTTGTTCCTGACACAGTGGAAAGTTGGGTATGTCTAAAATCAGTTTGATTCTGATTGTGCTTTATATGTGGACTTCCATAAAGTGTTCTTTCCCAACGATGATGTGGGATCAAGAACAGGGAATCAGGGCAAATAGGCTCTATTTACAATCAAGTCTCTACTTCAGTTTGCACACCCAGGCAATTTGTATCTCTCATGACTGTCTCTGTTTCAATCCCCTTTCCCTTGCACTGGAGTGAGGGTGTGTTCCATTCACTGTGGTTACAGACACCTCTCTCTCCACCTCTGTCTTCCACACCCCCACCCTGATTCTCCATCCCTTATGGATTCTCCATCCTCCACACCCCACTCCTATGAAGCAATAATTCTTATTTCTCTAAGAGGGACTGAGCCCAGGAAGGAGAACAGAATTCCAGCAGTTGGTGCACACCATGCTTTTGTGATAAAGTTACAAGCGAAGAACACTGCAGGGATCTATTTCACACTCCCAGTATTCCCACTTCCTGACCTGCGACTTGACCTCCTCTCCCTGGAACAGGGATCAAGGCGGCCATTGCTTCTCTGGGAACCCAGCTGTCTCCTCCACAAAGTGCTCACTGATGCTGCAATACCAGGAAGAAAAAGGCCAATCCTTGAAGTGTAAGGACAATAGGATAGCCAGTCCCACCTTCTCAATGGCTCAGTGTAGCAGTGAAGGCTTTCCATGTGAATATTCTCTGGCCAGGCATCAAGCCTATTTCACTTTTATATAACATTACCTTGCAAATTCTCAGCTTTCAGATTTATGGTTATTATTGCCATCTTCTTTCCCACATAATCACCATCCTTTCACTGTAAAATGGTTAAAAATTGTTTCATAGATTGCAGATCATTAATGTAAATTAGACTGTTTCTATATTTGATTTCTTAATTTTTAAAAAGAAAAGAACAGTTGACGCACACATATTCTCTCTCTCTCTCTCCCTCTCTCTCTTTTTACTTGAAAATTTTAAATGGCTCTCCAGACACCTCTTTCAATAACTGTTACCCTCTGAAGCTGGGTTGCCTTTTAATTTCACTTTAAAATAGCTACATTGGGACCATAATAAGATTAAAACTAATGAATATTGTGGAGAGAAGCAAAAAAAATGTTTAAAATCTTTAAAATATAAATACTTCATGTAAGTAAGGGCTTGTGGTTTGTCCCAGCCCAGTCAAGGATTCAGTTTTGATTCTGAGGATAAATCATCTGAGCTCTTCAGACCTCAACTTCTTCTCCTGCTCAAAAGGATCATGACTCCAGAAGTTTCTTCACAGAATGGTAGGAAACAATTGTATTAAAATAAATTTGCCATCTGCAGATAACATTTATAATATAAAATTGTCTAGGTGCTAAGGCAGTCAAAACTACTTGTATATTGAATCTAATAAAAGTTTGCTTCTTTTCTTAGTAAGGAACTCTGGATGCTGAGAACATTAGCAGGTGGGTATCGAGTAGAAATCAGATAAAATTGCTGGTTTATTAATGAATATTCTAGATTTACCTTGGAAATTCTTTCAGAAGAACTCTTAATTCCTGACAGTTTCTTCTTTCTAAACTGATAACTAAAGTTCACGTCACATGGAGTTTACTTGGTAATCTCTGAAATTCAAGAAGGCTCATATTTTTAAAAAAGTGGTACTTTTTAAAGTTCCTTTTGAAATTAACTGTTCCCAAAATGTAATTCTACCGGAGGCCGGTGCCGTGGCCCAGTGGGTTGGTCCTCTGCCTGCGGAGCCGGCATCCCATATGAGCACCAGTTCTAGTCTCAGCTGCTCCACTTCCAACCCAGCTCTCTGCTGTGGCCTGGAAAAGCAGTAGAAGATGGCTCAAGTCCTTGGGCCCCTGCACCCACGTGGGAGACCCGAAAAAGGCTCCTGACTACTGGCTTCGGATCGGCGCAGATCCAGCCGTTGCGGCCTTTTGGGGAGTGAAGCAGATGGAAGACCTCTCTCTCTCTCTCTCTCTCTCTCTCTGTTTCTTCCTCTCACTGTCTGTAACTCTACCTCTGAAATAAATAAATAAAATCTTTTAAAAAATGTAATTCTACCTTCTAAGAGCTTTACAAGTTCAGCAAGTCTTTCATCTATTGCAACTTCACTGGAGCCAACTCCTTTGTATCAAACACAAGAGGCCTATGTTTTCCTCTCAACACCCACATCTTGAGCATTAAGAGGCTTATTTCCTCCATAAAACACTTTTTTAAAAATATTTATTTATTTATTTGAAAGTCAGAGTTACACAGAGAGAGGAGAGGCAGAGAGAGAGAGGTCTTCCGTCTGATGGTTCATTCCCCAGATGGCCACAACTACCGTAGCTGTGCCAATCTGAAGCCAGGAGCCAGGAGCTTCTTCCAGATCTCCCACACAGGTGCAGGGGCCCAAGGACTTGGGCCATCTTCCACTGCTTTCCCAGGCCATAGCAGAGAGCTGGATTGGAAGTGGAGCAGTTGGGACTAGAACCGGAGCCCATATGGGATGCTGGCACTTCAGGCCAGGGCGTTAACCTGCTGCGCCACAGCACCGGCCTCAACCCCATAAAACACTTTAAGATCACCTATGAGGTATTTTTGAATAGAATCACCAAGAACTGCCCTTTTAAAATGAGCAACTCCTCCACAAAAGGAATTCCAGTGGGATTGCCATGAAGAGCCCTGAACACAACTGTTAGTCTAGATATCAGGAATTAAAAGCTAATGTGGATTCTGCACCCTTGGCCAACCATCCTTTCAATTTGGCTTCATTCCCAAGTGCCATAGAATACTAGAGACTTTGGCTTCCAGATGGCCTATGAGTGACCTCAGATGACTGAAGAGGTAATGCTGGTGTTTCTCCTGGGGTTCAGATAAGGCAGATTGACTCAGTTCTGCAATGGCTCAGCACTGAGCTGGAGACTCCAGGACAACTGCACAAAGCATCCAGCCTTGTAGGAATTCATGGGCATAGAGGGGACTACAAATTGGCTTGTCAGCAGAAAAAAACTGAGCTAAGTTCACTTTGTTTCTTTCAGCTTTGGTATTCTTATTTTCTGCTTAGTCTTGAGCTTATTTAATTCTGCTATGGAACTTTAAAAGCTAGGCATTTCTATGGCAGTTCTTTTATTTGGTGAGAAATGATGAATACATAAAATGCTTCTGGCTTTAAAATCATAAGGCATTTTGAAGAGGTAGTATATATTGATAGATAGAATTCTGAATTGCAGACAAAAATATATAAAAATTCTATTCTTTCACCTGTAAAATAGGGAAATAGTATTTATCTCATCCAAATAAGGCTCATTACAATTTAAGGACTTATACATTCATTATGTTCAGTAGCACTCAAAAAAAGTTTTTGAGAAAATATATTAATATTTGAATAAATTAAAAAATTCTATAAAGATTTAGTTATGACATAGATATTTATGCTTAAATGCAACAACTTTGAAACATTACCTGAATATTGACATCATCATATTTTGAAACAGAATTTTACTTAATTTGGGTAAAAATGAGTATTTACCCACATTTTTTCTATCTTTAATTGCTAATGTGTATCAGCTTAATTTTCAGAAACCTGCCCATTAAAACATTTCTCTCCAGATAAGCATGTGACTCCTCTGATAGGTCTTCATTCCCTGTAGAATTAGAAAATGCCTTACAGAATTTTGTCTCTTCCTCTTTGGGACAGCTTGCATTCTTAAAAAAGATTATTTATTGATTTATTTGAGAGGTAGAGTTACAGAGTTGCAGCCAGAGAGAGGGAGAGACAGAGAGAAAGGTCTTCCATCCCCTGGTTCACTCCCCAGATGGCTGCGACAGCCGGAGCTGAGCCAATCTGAGCTGGAGCCAGGAGTTTCCTCCTGGTCCCCGGCGTGGGTGCAGAGGCCCAAGTGCTTGTTCCCAGGTCACAACGAGAGCTGGACTGGAAGAGGAGCAGCCGGGACACGAACAGGCACCCATATGGGGTGCCAGCACTGCAGCAGAGACTGTACAATTATTGCACCACAGCACCAGCCCCATCAGCTTGCATTTTAAAGTATATATTTTTTACCTATGTTCCTGTAAACATGAGGATATTCAATACTTTTGTTACAAATCCATTGAAGGTGTTTGACAGGGGGTAGAAGTAGGGACAGGGAGATCTGGGGAAGTTGAGGAACAGAAAATAGAGAAAGAGGTCAAGAATCAGAGAATAGTTGCTAATTGTAAAAGCAGGTTTAATCTTAAGTAAAATACTAAATACATAAATAAAACCAAAATAGCTTCTATTTCTCTACTGAGCATTTTATTTTTTTAGTTGACACTTTTTTTTAAGATGTATTTTATTTACTTGAAAGTCATAGTTACAGAGAAAGAGATAAACAGAAACAGAACAGGAGATATCTTTCATCTGCCGGTTCTCCTCTCAATAGCTGCAACAGCTGGAGCTAGGGCAGGCCAAATCCAGGAGCTTGGAGCTTTCATCTGAGTCTTCTACATGAATAGCAGGGGCCCAGGCTCTTAGGCCATCTTCTGCCACTTTCCCAGGAGGATCAGCAGGGAGCCGGATCAGAAGTGGAGCAGGCAGGACTCAAACAGGCACCCATACAGGATGCCAGTGTTGCATAGGCAGTACCTTGACCTGCTATGCCACAACATCAGCCCCCTGAGCATTTTAAATATGTGGCTTTTCAAGTTGTTCATATAAACCTAAGAATTATAGGAGACTGTTCTTCGTATGTGCTTTTTTTGTGTCCAGATAAGATATAGTAATGAAAATTCTACTCGGCTACAAATGCTTTCCTAAAGGACAAGGTGCCATCTAAACAGAATGGATATCCCCTTGGCCACATTTCTTCCCTTGTGTGTTTCTCCTACAAAGTCTGCTTTCAAGTCCCAAGAACTGCTTTGTCACAGAAAATTCTAGGACTGTCATGTTCTCCCAAACTTTGCCAGAAATGAGAGCACCTCTTCATCTCTTATCACCCTTAAGAACTGATCAGATGATCAGTGGGAGATAAGGGTAAGAGGAAGAAGTCAGTGCTCTGTTCATCCTTGAATTTTTGTATCCTTGCATGAAATCTTTCTAAAACTGCTCCACTGGGGACGATGTTGTGGAGTAGTAGGTAAAGAAACCACCTGTGCCGGCGCTGTGGCTCACTAGGCTAATCCTCCGCCTTGCGGCACCGGCACACTGGGTTCTAGTCCCAGTCAGGGCGCCGGATTCTTTCCCGGTTGCCCCTCTTCCAGGCCAGCTCTCTGCTGTGGCCAGGGAGTGCAGTGGAGGATGGCCCAAGTCCTTGGGCTGTGCACCCCATGGGAGACCAGGAGAAGTACCTGGCTCCTGCCATCGGATCAGTGCGGTGCGCCAGCGGCAGCGCACTGGCCGTGGTGGCCATTGTGGGGTGAATCAACGGCAAAGGAAGACCTTTCTCTGTCTCTGTCTCTGTCCACTCTGCCTGTCAAAAAAAAAAAAAAAAAAAAGAAAAAGAAACCACCTGTAACACTAATACTCCATATCAGCACAGATTCATGTCCCAGCTACTCCACTTCTGATCCAGCTCCCAGCTAATGCATCTGGTAAAAGGAGTGGAAGATGGCCCAGCTGTTTAGGCCCCTGCCACCACATGGGAGACCTGGAAGGAGCTCCTGGCTCCTACCTTCAGTCTCATCCAGTCCTGGACACTGTGGCCATCTGAGCAGTGAACTAGTGGATAGAAGCTCTCTTTTGTCTCTCACTCTCTCTCTCTATCTCTGACTTTCAAACAAATAAATAAATCTTTTAAAAAATAAATAAAATAAAACTACTCTGTGGTAACAGTTCACATTGCAGTTTTACTTTTATATATTTCTCTCATCTTTTTTTTTTTTTTAGATTTTTTTATTTGACAGGTAGAGTTATAGACACAGAGAGAGAGAGAGACAGAGAGAAAGGTCTTCCTTCCGTTGGTTCACTCCCCAAATGGCCACTACCGCTGGCACTGCACCAATCCGAAGCGAGGAGGCAGGTGTTTCTTCCTGGTCTCCCACATGGGTGCAGGGGCTGAAGCACTTGGGCCATCCTCCACTGCCCTCCCGTGCCACAGCAGAGCTGGACTGGAAGAGGAGCAACCGGGACTAGAACCCTGCGCCCATATGGGACGCCGGCGCCTCAGGCAGAGGATTAACCGAGTGAGCCACGGTGCTGGCCCTCATCTTATGTTATTTCTATAATACATCCATACAGTAGGCATTGAAGATCGTTTAAAGGATGATCCCTGGGGCCGGCGCTGTGGCACAGTGGGTTAAAGCCCTGGCCTGAAGTGCTGGCGTCCCATGTGGGTGCCAGATCTAGTCCCGGCTGCTCCTCTTCCAATCCAGCTTTCTGTTATGGCCTGGGATAGCAGTAGAGGATGGCCCAGGTCCTTGGGCTCCTGCACCCATGTGGGAGACCCAGAAGAAGCTCCTGGCTCCTGGCTTCAGATTGGCACAGCTACTGTAGTTGTGGCCATCTGTGGAGTGAACTAGTGGATAGAACACCTCTCTCTGTCTCTACCTCTCTACCTCTCTCTGTAGCTGTTTCAAGTAAATGAAATTAATCTTTAAAAAAAAAAGAACAGTTTTTATTTAAAAAAATAAAAGGACTGCATCCACTCAAAATTGAGCAAATTAATTGTGTGGCCAGGTATATTCTACAAAACATCATTCCAACAGAATTCTTCCAGATTAATAGTATTTGGACAGATCATTTTGGTACATGCTACAAAGTGTCTATCTCTCTTGATTAGCTACAATTCACAGTGTGATTTAAAGCTCTAGTAAGTACCATAGAAAAGTGCCATTTTAGTATATTTAACCCGAAGTTTCCCAAATAACTTAATATCTTTTTATAAACAGTACCTGTTTGCATCCATGTAGCAGACTTTGTGAGGCATACTCATTGGCAAAGCCTGTTTGAGTTACTTTAGAAATGAAGGGTACTAATATTTGAGGTGGAACAGTGCAATAATGAAGGGCCAAGGTTACACAGGAGAAACAAGAGATATGGCAATCCCAGTTTTTAATTCCACGTAACATCTTACTCACCATCTGTTCAGAATTGGCCAATGAAATATGGGTGTCCTTAAGATTGCTGCCTAGAAATGTTAGGACAAATGAGTAACAAAATTTAAACTTTAATGTGTTTTGCAGCTATCTGCCTATATAAGGCAAAATATCACTAGAAATTTTCCAAACAACCAAACCCTCCCTTATACCAGTACATTATATTATATCATCATTTTATTATATCATTATTTTAGATTATTATCATTATTTTATTATTATTATATTATCATTTCTAATATTCAAATTGCCATCACCCATGTTATTATTCACATTTTAAAGTCAATTAAAGATGTTCCAGAGGCTGTCAGGTTGACTAATCGTACAGAATATTCCAAAGTGGCCTCAATCCTAGGGTTCATATTCCATGCTTTAGTGCCTTTATTGAATAAAATTCTTAAAACCACAATTTCCAAATCAGGGATGTGATAGAGTTTTAAAAAATTCAAATCATTGTGGCCAAGGAGACTCACTTGGTGACTGCCTTGTAAATTGTCACACCTGTCACATAGCACATACCCAGCAAGACTGGAGTGGTTGCCAGAAAATGTAGTTATTTTTAGGCCTCCAGTACTACTGAAAAGCTGACCACACAATGACTTTGTATTCTATGAGAATGAATTTTCTTTCTTTCTTTTTCAAGGCTACCTGGCTTAGTGAAATTGGACAATTTATCACACAATGGCCTGCAGCAAATTTAGTATATGCAAGTGATTAGTTTGTCTCTTCCCCGAGCAGCTTTGATGCAGCTGGATAAGAGTGGCAGCAGAAAGGGAAAGGAAGGTCACTTATAACACAGATTCTCTGGGGAACTGCTAATGGGCTATTGACCCTTCCCCACTTTGGGTGGATATGTCAGATTCGATTCTGGTTTCTGGATATATAATTTCCAAGTGGTGACGTTTCAAAATCTACACAAGATGGGTTGCACTATCAAGTTTTTGAGCATGGTATTACCCACATCCCGAATGGTAGTTGGCAGTTGATTGGACTGGAGATAATTTTACCATTTTCAGCTAGCCTCAAGGCATGGAAAAATACAGTATTGACAACATTGGTTAAGTTAATAACAAAGTGTAAATTATATCTTCACCCTCGTACTTAACACCTTTCTTGCCCTCCTCTTTTGTCTATTTTTGTGAGGTCTAGAAAATCACATCGATGTTTTTGATATGGTGGTCACTTGAGTCTATTGTTAAAGCAAATTTAATAGCTCTCTTTCTTGTCAATTAATGGCTTCTATTTCATTGCCATAAAACAGTCTGAAAAGGATGTAAAGTTATTTCAGATAAAATGCTAGGTTCAGTCAGCAATCCCTAAATTGAAGAGAATCAGTGCAGATAATCCCAAGTGTCAAATTGGCCAATTGGCCTTACTATTTAATTTAAAATATCATTTTGTTTTACCTTTAGGAGATCTATCTTTATAATTATACCTTCCAAGAACAAATATCAAAGTTGATGAGCATTTGTGAAGTATACTCAAACCAAGATAATCTCCAGATAGGTCATTTCTTACAGTAGAGGAGAAACCAAGTAATACTCTGTGAGGTTGCAGGAAGCCAGTGTGGAAATGAAATACTCTTCTTGCCTCAATTATACACTGATATATATGAAACTAGAGACTAGGCTTTTGAGGCTGTAATGGTAGAGGTGGGGAAAAGAGAAGATGAAATAGTGAAAGAAAAAGACAGAGTAAGTGTAAGATATTTCAACAAATAATGGAATTATACCTTGTTCCCCACACTGTGCTCCATGTGGACATGACAAAATGGGTAGATTCTCTGATGCTTGCAAGGTGGGCCGTATGGCTATGGAAGCACAACCTACAGACACAAGGACATGGAAGTGGAGAAACAACAGAAGGAATTGGAAATAAAAATTTCCCTCAATTTCTCACAACCTCAGGCCATGGAGGTAGATCTAGAAAGCAGGTATATTATAATCTCTCCACTTCTTGCAGTGGTAAACTTATTTTAAATCATCAATTTGAAAGAGGGAGGTTTTAGCTCTCCAAGACTCACTAAATTAATGAACCAGGCCAATTTATGATCTTCCATGTGTTGCTGCAAAGAAAATTCTCCCTGCAGGTAAACTGTCTATCTGGAGCCAGAGATATTAGAAGCAATTTTATGAGCAGGATCATTAATTATGACCTATGAAATTTTAATAGATGCCTTCTTCGGATCTCTTACAGCAGCTGAGATCAAAGTATCTTCAAACTATTGACACAAACTTGGTTATCAGGAAATCTGGTGAGTTTTCAAGGATTTAGAATCTGTATGTATTCTTTTGTTTCCTTTGCTGATACTTTATTAAAAAGCAATATGTGGGAAAATATGTATGTATACATAAAATCAGCTCCCACAGAATTTCATTTATTTGATCATGGTGATTGTACCAGACAGCTTGTATATTTTGTATTTTTGTATATTTGTGTTTCTAAGCAATACTACTTTGCCTTTTTAATTATAATTAAGAGGAAGCACGATATAAAGAAAGATAGACCAACATGCAAGGACCTTCATTTACCATAGATCTGTTATATTGTAGGACGCCCTCGGTCAGCTGACTTCAGTGCTGTGGACCTCAATGTCTTATTTATGGGAGTCACCAGTATCTCATTCATTCTTATCTGTGAGACACACTGGTGTGGCATGAGAGCTAACTAGAAATCAGTATAATATGTGTGTTAACATGCTTGTCTTATAGGTCTGAATTTCTGTGGATATGTCTTACTCTAGAGCCAGGAAAATGAGAATAATGATACTTATCTCATAAACTTGTTGTGAAGCCAAAATAAGACCATGTTTGTAAAGCACATCAAGGGTTACTTAGGACACAGTACATATTTCATAGATATTCAGTCTGTTTTTATTTTCATTATTGCTTTTGCTACATGGGACGTAACAGGGCACTTAAGGAAAACCTGGCTCAAAGTGCCCTAAAATATGATATGCAGTCTGTGCCCACAGTGGCAGGGAAGGGGTCCCTGAACCTTGTCTCTATTATTCCCTTCCCTGCTCCCATCTCCTTTGGCTCAAATCACATGCAGGATTTCTGCCTTAAAGATCAGTTATCTGGGCACAGTGGGTTAAGTTGCTGCCTACAGTGCTGTCATCCCATTTGGGTGACGGTTCCCGACCTAGCTGCTGCACTTCTGATCCAGCTCCCTGATTGCATGCCTGAGAAATCAGCAGAGGATGGCCCAAGTGCTTGGGCCCCTACACCCATGTGGGAGATTCAGAAGAAGCTCCTAACTCCTGGCTCCTGGCTTCAGCCTGGCTCAGCCCTGGCCACTGTGGCCATTTGGGGAGTAAACCAGGGGATGGAAGATCTCTCTCTCCTCCCTCCCTGCCTGTAACTCTGTCTTTCAAATAAATAATAAATAAAAGTTTTAAAGCAAAGATCAATCATATGTTGCATTGGGTACTCTGAAGCCAGATGGTGACTCTACTAGATGCTGTAGGTGTTACAGGTGTAAAAGAGCTTGCTTGTATTCTTCCAGGTCTTATACTTTTTTTGCCCTGTATGCATGAGGGGTGTGGGGGCAGAAGGACAGAGAGAATGAGAGGGAGAGAGAGAGAAAGCAGTTGTTCCTGAATCGCAGGACCTGAGGACCCTGTCAAAATTGACTCACAAAATTTAAGGACTGAAGGGATAACTTCCCTGCAAGACCATGCTGGTCAGCTGAACAGTCACAGACTTCCACATGCAATTGAAATAATCAGAAATGATTTTACTATTCATACCATCCCTGGGTCTAGCTTAAAACATGGCACATTTACTTATGTTTATCTAGGACATTTTTCTTATGCCTAGAAATTGATTGAAATTATAAATTGCTATCAAATCCTTTAGCTGGTTGGTTAATTTATTTTAGATCATTTTGTGCATGAATGACTAACTGTTCAAGGTATTCATTTCCAACAACCTCTTTCATGTCTCAGCAGTGTGCCAAATAGATGACTTGTATATTCTTTGCACATGTGACTTCTTCAGTCTGGCTCAGATTCCCCCCTACATGGGTGCCACAATGTTCAATCTCTGTGTTTTCTAGATAACACTGCATTGCCAATGACCTCTGTCTATAGTCTAGGAGCCCTTGAGTCCCACAGTCATCCTGATCACGTCAGAGAGTCAGTAGCAGTCTCAGTTCAAAATGACAAGGAAGGGGCCCTGTTACCATGGAAGCCAGCTCCATTGTTCCTTCCCCTTGCTCACCTCTCCTTTGACGTAGACAATAGGTAGAATTGATGATTTTTTCTCCTTTAGGGCCTCAGGGCAACTGGAACTGGAACTCTGTTCTAATCCCAGAAGAGGCTAAGACACGATCTGCTCTCTGGATTTATCTGCAGACCAAGCTCAAGCATGCCGCACCCCTTTGAATCTTGAGCAAGAACTAGTCTCTAAACCACTTTGCTTTCTCCAAGCCCCTTTCTCACTTTATGCAGGCTCTTCGCCACTACCATATCAGGCTACTGATGCCTCTACTGGCTCATGAGTTGGATAGCTAAATCTATTATTCCACCTTCTCCACACTACATAATTCTCCACCATAAGGGGTTAGGCTATTCCTAAGTGAAGCTCTCTTCCTTTCAGCAATGTCAACATAAACTTTTCAGTACTCTCTCTAGCCCTTTTCACAATGTATGGACATAGTCACAACCTGGTGCCACCATATTCCTACGCCTCATGAGGGTATTATCACCCTGTTCCATATTCCTCACAGCTCTTGGAAATGTATTCCAGGAAAAAATAGATATCAAGTAGGCAACAAGTAGTAGTTTTCACTGATTTATTGGATGAATTGAATCAATTAAACCTCAAGGTTAGTACTTCATGATTTGGATTTTCTATATCATAACATAAGTGAAGAATTTTTGACTTGCTCATATGCAGGCTGTTGAGTGGGCCAAATAAGGTCATTCACTATGGTTGATATGTCCATTCATTATTAATTGTAGCTTCTAACATAATTTTTTATTTATTTATTCTGCTTATGTAGTGGGAATAAATTTCTCAGAATTTACATAAGAAAAGAAAGAGAGACACGCAGAAAGAGAGAGACAGAGACAGAGAGAGAGAGAGAGAGGAAAGAATGAACTAAAGAAAGAAAAGAAATGGAACTTTATTTTTTGACAATACAACCAAGTCTGCTTTGAGCCCCATTTAACCTGATAGCAGGGGACTTAATTTGCATCAAATTGGTGCTTTCTGACCCTTTAAGATTTTCCCCTTCCCCATTCTTCCAAGAGCCTGCTCAAGTTCTAGAGAACTTGTATCACAACCAGGCCCTCTCTCCTAGGCAGGGAAGAGAGGACACCTGGGTTTTGGCTGTTGTCACCCTTTCGTTTTGTCAGCCAGTGCTGATGCTTGAATTCTTATCAATCTCCAGGTGACAATCCTCGCACCTTGCAGCCTCCACTCCATGCCTGTGGTCTCATTCAGTTTGGACTCCTTTCCTCCTTTGGAGTGATGGGAAGTTTTTGTATGCCTTCACTATCCCGTCACTCTTGGGAATGCCGGAGATGTGAGAAACTGGTCCTGTAAACTCAAACAGCACATCACTATTTATACCACCCTACTGTTTCACAATGCTGGAGCAAACTGATCAAATTCTAGTTGTTTAGAATTACCTGCATCTCTATAACCCAAGGAATTTTTTTTATCAAAACTGAGAGAAAACATTTCCTATAAAAAGATCATTTAGCACTCTTCCTAAACCTATTGTTTGACTAGTAGCCACTTAGGCTCTCACATTCAAAAGCCCAAGACTTTGAATCTAGCCTCCCTTCTGAAGCCTAACAGCCTCTATTATAACTCTTCTGAAAGAGTTTCTATTTGTTGCTCCTTTTCTCTAAGTAGCTATCATGTAGGCTTCAGATGCTGCTTGCCATGAAAGGGTCCTAAGTTAAAGTAAGATGTTCTGTAGCTGGATTGTGTGGAGCTTACTTGGGGAATATATTTTTTAAATATTTATTTATTTATTTGAAAGGCAGAGGTAGGGAGGAAGGGGTGTCTTCCATCTGCTGGTTCACTCCCCAGATGGCCGCAATGCCTGGAAATGCACCGATCCGAATCCGGGAGCTTCTTCCAGGTCTCCCACATGGGCACAGGGACCCAAACACTTGAGCCATCTTCTACTGCTTTCCCAGGCCATAGCAGAGAGCTGGATCAGAAGAGAGCAGCTGGGACTTGAACTGGCGCTGTAGGTAGTGACTTTACCTACTACACCACAGCAATGAATATATTTTCAAGCTCATTGAGCCTATACTTAATAGACGTGTATTTTCTTACTTGTAAATTATACCTTAATCAAGTTGACAAGATACTCAGTCATATATGCATAGGCACACATATTCTCACATATAGGACAGTATTGAAATATTACCCCCATTACATTTATCTAGTTAGCTTTTCTTTCTTTCCCAATGAAAAATTCCAACCTACATTACAGGTACAGAAATATGCCTTTTCCAACTTAAAGATTTTTTTTTCCTTATAACACTTGAAATTCTTGACTCTTTTAAACTTTAGCAATGCATCAGATTTACTCTCCATGTTTTCTATTTTTCCTTTCTATAATTTCGATTCTCTTAATTCATATTGGTTACTTCTTTCTGACCTGTGTATGAATATGTGTTACTATAGTTTATTCCATAAACATTTGTTCTGAGCTAGGTGAATAACAGTGTACTCCGGAGACTACTGAAATGTTCTCAATGTAGTAATTAAAATACATGGGCCAAAGAAAATAATTAAAGAACTATGAGTTTTTCTGCCTCGTCCCATATATACACCAGAGGCTCAGTTTTCTGTAGTGATACTTTTTTCCTTATGTTGATGCATTTCTCCAAATGAAAATTGCCTAATAATGTACATTTTGTAAGAGTTATTCACAGAATACATTTAAATAATTTTTGGCTTCATATGATCTAACTGAACATGAAATATAAAATGGGTCTATATTTCTGGTTTGTCAGAGATGAGTTATTGGATGTCTATTTGTGTTCATTATTAGAATGATATATTCTTAGGCCCTATTCTATTTTTAACTGCACAAATTTGAATTGAGGAAAAATAAACCAAAGTGTCAACACAAAGGTATTTCTTTTTCACATATAATTTTGGGTTCTCAATGCATTGATAGTACGCATACTACAGCATAGATATTTGTTTAGAAATCAAATCATTGAAAATCACTTTTTGGCCGGCGCCGCGGCTCACTAGGCTAATCCTCCGCCTAGCGGCGCCGGCACACCAGGTTCTAGTCCCGGTTGGGGCGCCGGATTCTGTCCCGGTTGCCCCTCTTCCAGGCCAGCTCTCTGCTGTGGCCAGGGAGTGCAGTGGAGGATGGCCCAGGTGCTTGGGCCCTGCACCCCATGGGAGACCAGGAAAAGCACCTGGCTCCTGGCTCCTGCCATCGGATCAGCGCAGTGCACCGGCCGCAGCGCACCGGCCGCGGCGGCCATTGGAGGGTGAACCAACGGCAAAGGAAGACCTTTCTCTCTGTCTCTCTCTCTCACTGTCCACTCTGCCTGTTAAAAAATAAAAAAAAATAAAAAATAAAAAAAAAAAGAAAATCACTTTTTACCTTTTTGTTATTGCTATTTCCTTTGTGATGAAACTGGTTGCTGGTGAGTGTCCATCATTCTCCAGAGAATTTGAGATGGATAAAATCAGAAATATGTGAGTGGGAAAATTGCCAAAGCTGACTTGAAAAATAGTGACACTGCAACATGCAAACTGTTGTTATTATCACTGAAATAGTTTTTTAAAGGGCCAATAGAGTAAGATGGCTTTGGTTTCTATGCACTAAGAGAAATTTTGCCAACAAACAACTTCCCATTTGATCATTGTTGTTGATCAAAATCCCCCAGATTACAGAGGGATATCTGAATTGGATGATGGATATTTGGATACTTGATACTATTTGTCATTGACATATGTAATATTAATAGTTTTCCTGTGCCACTTTCAAATCAAAATGAGATTTATGAATCTGAAGATGAAAATCAAATAATTCCTACTGACCTTCACCCATCATCTGGAAAAGCAGTTCCTCTCAAAATACAAATATATTTGTTGTTTTATGTCATGAATGGTAAAAAATATTTTGCTATGACTTCTATTAATGTTATTTTGATGCCCAAATCCAATCAGAATGAAGTAAATCAAATACACCACATGATTATTTACTTTCATGATTACATATAGTTTTGTGAAAATGAGGCAAAGAACACCAAACACCTGTTGTTGTGACCTAAGGATCGGCTAGTGGCCAGGATGATGATAATGGAGCTACAGCCAAATTCCATTTCTCCGAAGAGTAATAATTCATCTGTATGGCAACCACATCATGATTTTGAGAAATTATGAATTATTTTCCACATATATTTGAAATATTCTCAAGCCAAGATTAAAATTTTAATAGACTTCAATAGTAGGTTGCCCTTATAACTAATCTAAATATCCTACATTTTGGAAGCCAAATATTATGATTCACCTTCACCATATATGTGCAAAAATACAGATGAAGTAGTCATCACATCACAGCATATCATCCTCCTTCTTTTATAATATATGCCTAATTCCAGAGAAAGATTTGCCTATCTCTTAGCAGGATGGAAGTCTAAAGATTACTTCCACTCTTAAATTTTCAATATTTTTATAAAGGGAGAATTTGAAAAATCAAGAATGATTACTCATTTCAATAAATTTCAAATCAAAGCATACAAACAAAATCAGCACTTTGCTAGATTCAAATATATGCAGAATTATTAATTTTTATTATGGAATCCATTAGCCTGGTTGAATATTGAAATATATTTCTTCTATGTAGAATTTTATTATGAGACATATACTTTCTGATTTCCTTCATCCTTTGGAGATTTTTAGTGCCTAAGGTTTTTTTTTAAATAATAGAAAAGACTTCAAATATAACTTTAACTTAAAATAAAAATTCAGGGTATTTTAAATTTCTATAGTTCTATTTTTTTTTTAAGAATTTGTTTATTTGGGGCTGGTGCTGTGGCATAGCACGTAAGGTTGCTGCCTGGGTGCCGGCATCCCATATGGGCACCAGTTCTAGTCCTGGCTGCTTCACTTACAATCCAGTTCCCTGCTAATGTGCCTGAGAAAGCAGCAGAATATGGCCCAAGTTCTTGGGTCCCTGCACCCATGTGGGAGATCTGGAAGAAGCTCCTGGCTCCTGGCTTCGGATCAGCCCAGCTTCTCCTGTTGTGCCCATTTGGGGAGTAAACCCGTAGATGGTTCATTCTCTCTGTAATTCTGCCTTTCAAGTCAAAAAATTTTTTTAATTATTTACTTATTTATTTGAAGGCAGAGTTGCAGAGAGGGACAGACAGAGAGAGATCTCCCATCCATTGATTCACTTGCCAAACAACCACAACAGCCAGGGGTGAGGCAGGCCAAGGCCCTGAACTCCATCCAGATCTCCACATAAGTGGCAAGAATTCAGTACTTGAGCCACCTTCTACTGCTTCCCAGGCATGTTGGCAGGGAACAGGATCAGAAGCAGAATAGCCGTGACTCAAACTTGCACTCCAAATGGGATGCCAACATCCCAAATGTCCGTTAAACAAATTGTGCTACAACACCTACCACTATTTTATTCACTTCAAAGGTAGAGAGATAGACACACAGTGAGATCTCATATACTGGTTCACTGCCCAAATTCCTGTAACAGCCAGGGCTACCAAGTTAAAATCAGGAGCAGAGAACTCAATCCATGTTGCCCATGTGGGTGACAGGAACTCAAGTACTTGAGCCATCACTTGCTGCCTTGCAGGGTGTGTACTGGCAGAAAGCTAGAATCAGAAGTGGATTCAGCCCTGAACCCAGGCATTACAATACAGAATGCAGATATCCCAAGTGGGGTCTTAACTGCTGCACTAAATACCCTCCACTGAACCTTAGGATTTTGATGGCCAAACACATTCTAAAAATGAAAATACTGAAAGTAAGAATTGAAGTTTGACCAACCAGTTTAACCAAGAGATCATAGTATCATAAAGCCAGCTGAGGCACTGAGTGATTCTCTGGTATTCCCAAAGAAACCAAGACAAATTGATTAGGTTATTCATGGCCAATACACTTCAGAGTAGTTCATTGCAAAGTAATGCATATTGAAAAAGACCATTTAAAGTTCCCATGCACTAATGGCTCTGATGGGTTCTGAATTAGTTGGCACTCCTCATGAAAAAGATGTAGGCATCATTATGAACAGCTCAATTAAGATGTCTGCTCAATGGGTTACATTGGGCCAAAAAGCAAATAGACTGCTTGAATGAATTAATAAAGTGAGAGATAATGTGGAAATACTATAATGGCCTTGCATAAACCTTGATAAGTGGGAGTAGTTTCAATGCCTCTTGCCTAAATTTAGTCAAATAAATCAGCTTCTCCCATCCTGGATCATTTGACTCATTTCCAAACAACTCTCTGGGTGCCATTTTCCTGAATCAAAGCAGCAGCCAGGTGCCTTCTAACACAAGAACCATCACTCTTACCACATCTGTTTGGCTGCTGATGCCTTTGAATAGGATCTGCTCACCTTTTTTCTTCTTACTCAGCTGAGGCAAACTTCTGGACTATAGATACATTGAAAGTTGGGAAGAAAAAAGCGGTGGTACATAGACATCTAACACCCCAAAAGCAACATATTGATAAATACTTCATGAATTTACAATCCTATCTTGGAGATGGGTTCAAAAACTTTTCAAATGCATTCTAGTTTTCACTGATACATTTTTAAAATATGTTTCCCACTGCAAAGTACTATATTTTCTTTTCACTCAAGACATCCCTTTGCCCTCCAATACATATTGGCCTCATAGTAGGGCCTCATAGAGATACCTGTCCAAAGCAAGCTTAATTAGGTTTCCTCAACCTACTTCTTAATTTCCTTTGAAAAAAGCCTATAAGAATTCAAAACCAGACAAAGTCAATCTCATTCCCTTCAGAGTTATCCAGGTTTATTGTATGTACTCTCACCATGGGTTACACATATCTATGAAAGCTATATTTCTTTGTGTGTCTGTGCATATGTGTGTATTTTGAGCTGTTTGTTACTTATTTTGCTTCCTCCCAGACACTCAGTTAAGAAATGAATATCCATAGAAAATGTTGAAATCAGATGCACTAAACTCTCTCCCAGTTACCAATTGAACAGGCAACAAATTTCCCATCAAGTTATGTACAGTATTTAAAACACTTCTAATCAAAGGTATTTTTAGTATCTTACATTTTACAGTATGCTCAAACAACTCCCTTAAAACTAGAACCAAAACAAAACACAAGTCCTAGAAAGGTTGAGTAGTCTAACTGGGTCATTTGAACTTTTTAGCATCTAAATGGAGGGTGTGTGAACTGCCAAACTATTAGTCCACTAGAAAGGTACTGCTCAAATTATTTGTTATATAGATACAAGAAGTTAGAGTGTGGAAACTCTTCATATCCATTTCTCACTGACATCACAACAAAGAGTATGCTTTTGTCTTTCACCAAAAATTTTACTCCATGATAGACTGTCGGTTAAAAACAAACGTAAACAAACTGGCCACCACAGATATTTTGGGAGCTGGAAGACCAGGCTTTGTAAAATCATAGCCTCTTATTCATCATTTTAGTCAGGATTTCCTGCATTTCCTATTTTAGCTTCCTTTTGAAGCTCCAGGTAAGAGAAAATAAGCAGATCGGCATGAAATCAAAACACACCCATGTGGGGAATGCAGAAACTCAGCTCTCCACACTTTGCCTTAATAAAATGTTTCAACTACTGATTTGAGTTGAGTGGTTTTTGGTTCATAAAACCATCAAAAACCAAGATTGACTCAGTGCTGTCCATTCCTCTTTAAGTTGTGGGATAACAACTTCTTGTTTGAGCTGAGAATTCTATAATTCTCTAACCTGTGTTTTTGCCTTATTTGGGTATCATCAAGAAATAACTGTGATTTTTAAAACTATAATTTGAAGATATATATGTAATACATATGTATATATATTATCATAACCATCACATGCACAAAGAGAACATATTAGACTACCATAGAGATCTAAGACATAAAATAAGGAAACAAATTGTTGGTCCTTTTTACTTCTTTTACCTTGAAAGAAGGATGTCGTTGGCAACTTCCATCAGATGTCAAATAGTTAACCTCTACTTTTGAGAAGTAGTTACCAAGACATAAAGGCAGAGTTGGGTCTATGTGTGGTCCTCTAACACCTATCAATAAAGGAAATGCAAAACAGCATTGATTTCACTGCTGCCAAAGTGCCCAGGCTTCGATCTACGACCATTGACTCCATTCCCAGAACAAAATGTTACAAAAATCACACAGCAGCAGCATCAAATGGCTGCAGTCATGCCATCTGTGATCATCAAAGAGAAGTCGATTTGGGGGTTATGTCAATACATTATTTTGTTGAAAATGCTACATTTCTTGTCAAAACAATGCTGTGGCGAACAGTACAGAAACATTTGATAAACAACTTTTATTTTCTCTTAGATATCAATGTCATATACATAATCCCCTACACATTTAAGTAAGAATATTTTAAGGGTTTCAAGGAGGGGGAGGGTTGGGGGGGAGTGTTGGTTGTGATGTTGAAAGAAAGGGAGGAGGAAGGAGGGTGGGAGTTGAGGGAGTGAGCGAAGGTAGTGTAGGAAATATCTTTATGTTCTTAACTGTATGTATGAAATAAATGAAATTTGTTGCCTTTGTATAAATTTTTTAAAATGAGTAATTTTTAAGACTACATATTCAGCCGGCGCCACGGCTCAATAGGCTAATCCTCCACCTAGCGGCGCCGGCACACCAGGTTCTAGTCCCAGTCGGGGCGCCAGATTCTGTCCCGGTTGCCCCTCTTCCAGGCCAGCTCTCTGCTGTGGCCAGGGAGTGCAGTGGAGGATAGCCCAAGTGCTTGGGCCCTGCACCCCATGGGAGACCAGGATAAGTACCTGGCTCCTGCCATCGGATCAGCGCGGTGCGCCGGCCGCAGAGTGCCAGCCATGGCGGCCACTGGAGGGTGAACCAACGGCAAAAGGAAGACCTTTCTCTCTGTCTCTCTCTCTCACTATCCACTCTGCCTGTCAAAAAAAAAAAAAAAACTACATATTCAAGGTTTATATTCAGTGATGTGGGAAAATGTTTATATTTTAAGAGATGAGTTGTAAAATAGTATTTGTAATGTGATTCTATTCTGCTACTGTATATCCATGGGGGGGGGGGATCTAAAAGATATGTATTACAAAAATTTAATAGTAATGCCTTCTGAGTGATCACATTGTCACTGATCCTTTTTTCTTTTTTGCTTTGTTTTCCAGTATATCTACCATAAGCATGGGTATCTCACTTTATAAAAAAAGAAAGAAAAGGAAATACTTTCATCACTTTTGGGATGGTAGAATAAACTGTTCTCAACACTTCTGCAACCAGGAGTTCCTCCCAAATATCCAAATTGTGCTAAGATTTATCGTGGAGGTCCCAGAAAATCTGGGAAACTCACTTCTTTTCTTTTCCAGGTCCTATCTTTGCAACTGTCAGCAGAAAAAGCATAGTATTCATTTATCAAATAACAGAAAGAATATAAAATAAAGAAAAACGGTCTGAGACATTCTGTAGAATTATCTCATAATCTATTCTGAGATTTAAAAAAAAATAAAAATAAAATCTGACAAGGTTGAAACAGTGCTGCTAGTTAGCCGGGGAGTTAAGTTTTAGGATCTGACAGAGTGGGGTTTGAGTTTCCACCACTACCACTTATGAGCAGCTTGCTTAACATCTCTGAGCTGCAGATTTCTCTGTTGTAAAATTAGAGTAACAATAACTGCCTCATAGAGATTTTAAGCAGTATAAATCAGAATTGTACTGAAAGAGGTGATCACAAAGCCATACACACACGTGTTAAACCCTCAGAGTCACCATAAAAATAATTGCTATTCTTAGAGAACTTCCCTGTCATCCCCATGAGACGCCCTCCGTGGCCAGCCCTATGCCCATATCTCTACCCTTCCCGTTTTGGGCCATCTGAAGTGTTCTATCCCTGAACAATTGCATTTCTGTATAGAGGGGAAGCCATTTTTCTCCTTTCAGCAGCATGTCCTTTGGGGAAAATTGAAGACAATGTATTCTACATCCATCATAACCCAACGTCACCAGGCCCAGTACATTCACAGGAAAGAAAGAGCACGCAGTACTGAAATTTTTAAAATTAAATATAGATTCAGTGTTAATTAGCGATGGTAAGATGATCTACATAGTCTGCTTTAAATATTTTTGAACAAGTTGGAGCTCCTCCAAAACTCACAGAAAACAAGAGGAAACTATACAGAGAAAGTACCTATGTTGCGAATTTTACTTAAGCCAGTTAGGCCACACATTTCTTAGCTTCTCTTTAGCTTGCAATGGTGGCCCTTGCAGAAATCTGAGGTGGTAAGAAGTTCTCATTTCCACTTTTTCTTTTTCTTTTTTTTTAAACTTTTATTTAATGAATATAAATTTCCAAAGTACAGAATATGGATTACAATGGCTTCCCCCCCATAACGTCCCTCCCACCGGCAAACCTCCCCTTCCCCACTCCCTCTCCCCTTCCAATTTCTCCTTCCATTTCCACTTTTTCACAATGAAGCCTTGGTAATGACACCTGTACCAAGCCCAATTCTCCTATACATTCACACGTTTATTAAATAAGCACTCATTAGCAAGTAAACCTCAACATACTTCATGCAATTGATTTGGTGAACTCAGTGTCTTTTTTAGGCAATTCCGAGATGTGAGCATATTCTCGAAGCAAATTTATATTATCTATACAGTAGGCCAGGCAAGCAGTAACACTCTTCAACTGTGGCTCAGACCAAAGCTATTTGGGGCTTTACATCTTGTTCCTAAAGGTATTGGCCAAGCATAATACTGGATTCTTAATCTTGATTCATGCATGGGAGGAAAGGGAGAGGTCTTCAAAATATTTTTATCAATTCCCATGTTTTTTAAATTTCAACATCACAAAAAAGTTACATCTCTGACATTAAACATATCAAAGAGCAAACCAGTAATTTCACCAGTAATATCCCACTTGACATTTACCTGGTAATTAGCATTATGTCAAGTGTTGGCTAGAAGACAGATAGTTTACTATACACTTTGAGGTAGCCCTTTCTGGAGTGCAGCCTGTATAATAAAATGGTACCCTACCAACTCTGGAAAATGGATTGCTGAGAAAAAAAAACAGCTGTTTCTGGAACAAAACCTTAAATTAGTTGGGACATACAGAATACTTTAGTCTCTGTGTCCTGAAGAATATTATAGAGTATTATATGAGAGGCCATAAAATAAAATGTAAGACATTTGAATTGATTAGAAGTGTAAATGAGTCCTTCTAGACATTGTGTGAGGATAAAAAGGATAAGTAAACACTTCATAATACCTTCTTCAGTGACCTGGATTCATAAATCTATAAATAGATATCACTGAATCATTCATCAGTTTTTCCCAACCACTTATTAAATGGTCTCTGTATCCTGATTCATTTTCTAGGATCTAATTTGTCACTTAAGGCATTCGGATCTGGCTGAAAAGCCCATGAGAGTATTTCAGGCATGGAAAGCCAAGACATTCTGGCAAAAGATCTCTGTGAGTGAGATCCCAGTGGAAAGAACAGGTCTTCAAAGAAGGAGGTACCTTTCTCTGAAGGGAGGAGAGAACCTCCACTTTGACTATGACCTTGTCTAAACAAGATAAGAGTCGGAGAACTCAGAGGGCTTCCATAGCCTTGGAAACTCATGACTGGAGCATAGGGAGATTACTGATGCCATAGACAGGAGTGTCAATTGGTAAAGTCAACAACAGGAGTCACTGTGCACTTACTCCTCATGTAGGATCTCTGTCCTTAATGTGCTGTGCATTGAGATTTAATGCTATAACGAGTACTCAAACAATATATTTCACTTTGTGTTTCTATGGGGGTGCAAACTGTTGAAATCTTTACTTAATGCACACTAAACTGATCTTCTCTAAAAAAAAAAAAAAAGAAAGAAAGAAAGAAATTATCAATTCCCAACTTGACTCTCACTGGGATTAAACATGACAATAGGTCTGATCTGATTTCATCATCATTTAAAAAAAAATCATCTATTATTTTTCACTTTATGTTTCTGTGTGGGAGCAAACCATTGAAATCCTTACTTAATGTATACTAAGCTGATCTTCTGTATATTAAGATAATCGAAAATGAATCTTGATGTGAATGGAAGGGGAGAGGGAGTGGGAAAGGGGAGGGTTGTGGGTGGGAGGGACGGTATGGGGGGGAAGCCATTGTAATCCATAAGTCGTACTTTGGAAATTTATATTCATTAAATAAAAGTTAAAAAAAAAAGATTTCTCACTTTCCTAAGAAACCAATAGTGAAAGCCTGTTGGTAAATTAATTAGAATGTATTCTCTTCATTCTCTATGTTGTTAGCACAGTATGGAATAAACACTTTAGTGCTTAGGTTACTGGGCTCTCTGTCAGGTACAGCTGTATCTATTATTTGTGGACAATTGCATGAGCCAGATATTTTGCTAGATATTTTACAGATTTGCTATTTAATTTTTATGCCATGTAAGGGGCCTTTTATCATTCATATTTTATAAGTGAGATACTGAGGCATAAGAAGTTTAAGCCGCTTACCAGGTTGCACAATTCATGGATGATGGTAGTGGATTTTAACTCAGGTCTTTGTCTCATAACCAGTCCTCTAACTACTTTATTCTGTGTTCTAACCTGTCCTTATTCTCAATCTATATTAGGATATTCAAAATGTGCAT